ATGCCTGAAAAAATGGACTGGAGGGATACTTTGACTTGCGACTAGCTGGCTTTTGGAGGGATGGTACCCACAAGTTACCTGAACATTGCCAACATGTTGTAGGATCACGACGGTGCATATTGCTAATTCTGGATTATTCTTGTGTTTGTGTTATTTACTAATAAAGAAATGGACAAGTACTTTCCTGCCAATATGTAACAAACAGTACGAATTGCAGTAAAAAGTTCTGGAATTTTCTACAATTTTCTAGAATGTTCTGGAATTTTCTAGAATGTTCTGGAATTTTCGAGAATTTTCTGGAATTTTCGAGAATGTTCTGGAATTTTCGAGAATTTTCTGGAATTTTCTAGAATTTTCTAGAATTTTCTAGAATGTTCTGGAATTTTCGAGAATTTTCTGGAATTTTCTAGAATTTTCTGGAATGTTCTGGAATTTTCTAGAATGTTCTGGAATTTTCGAGAATTTTCTGGAATTTTCTAGAATGTTCTGGAATTTTCGAGAATTTTCTGGAATTTTCGAGAATTTTCTAGAATTTTCTAGAATGTTCTGGAATTTTCGAGAATTTTCTGGAATTTTCTAGAATTTTCTGGAATGTTCTGGAATTTTCTAGAATGTTCTGGAATTTTCGAGAATTTTCTGGAATTTTCGAGAATGTTCTGGAATTTTCTAGAATGTTCTGGAATTTTCGAGAATTTTCTGGAATTTTCTAGAATGTTCTGAAATTTTCTAGAATGTTTTGGAATTTTCGAGTATTTTCTGGAATTTTCGAGAATGTTCTGGAATTTTCGAGAATTTTCTAGAATGTTTTGGAATTTTCTGGAATGTTCTAGAATTTTGCGCATAACAAGAACCTTGTATTCTGTAGAAAATTACTATGACCCATTTTCAGTAGTCCACAGGATCGAAATTCAAGTGATATACAAAAGAAACGAAATTTTCAAAATTTTTCAGTTCTGAAGATTTGTGATCAATTTTATGTAGGCAACACATAGATAGACCAAAAAACGGTTTTGCATAATTTCGTGAAGTTTTATTGAGTTTGAGCATAGTTTTGAAATTTTCGATTCTCAACACTGTAGCTTCCCTATAAGCTAGAAGGCCCAGGACACCATAGACATGAAGCGCTCGGCAGTCCATGACTACATACCACACACCACTATAGGAGTCCCACGCGCCTTTGAGTTATTCAAGTTAATGTCCGAGACGGATACACACACAGAAAAGCTTCCTTAGTAAGAAGTAGATTTTGATATATGAATTTTTGGGAATTTTTTGTTTAATTTTTTGAAGAATTTCAAACTTAAAAAGTTCATTTCCCTTTCTCTAACCTCTCTCTTCTCCTCCCACACTATTTCTCCGTCCCTAAAAATTGAGTAGAAGAACTCTGGCACCAACTGACACCGGCTCCGCAAAAAGAAGGGGCGTCGCTCCTCGAGGACATTTCTCTGTGCTCTCTAGCACTCTCTTCTCTCCGCCTCCCTCTCTCTCCCGTTGCTCATTTTTCCCCAGAAGAGAGCTCTCATACCTATACTCTTCCATGGCTCTGTGTTTAAGAGCCTAAATTTATATGAATGATTTTTCTGAATTTTATTCTGATTTTTCTATTCTCTGTATTTTCTACCATGGCTCTCTGTGTTTAAGAATAAAGGTGAGTAATTCAAAATTTTTTAATTTCGCGGGTTCAAAAAAATTTGAATCTTTTGAATGGAATAGTTTCAACTTTTAAGGAAAGTATAGCCATTTCCAAAAGAATATTCTAGATTTCTGTTTTTTTTCAGATTTTCAATTTTGGTCTTTTGGAATCCTATGTGAACTTCTACAATGCAACTCTCACTTGTCCGGATTTTTTTGTAAGCATTGCACCAAAAAACATATTTATTTTCCCTAATTTTTCAGCTCTATTTAAAAGACTGCGATTTCTAAAAAAAGTCCCAACGCCAAAGTCAAAGTTCCAACAATGTACCATTTGTAGAAGGTGAGTTGTTTTGTGGTGAACTTTGGATCAAATTATCTCGGTTCCTACAAAAGATATTAAGAAAGTGTGAACTGATAAAATGTGACTGATATTATGATAACCATTTTATTAGCTGACAAACTTTTGATATATATTACAGAAAATGAAATAACTTTATTTAAGAATCTGGAACCAGCTAAACCATATATGTTTTTTCAGAAATGTCTTGGTTATTTCGGTCCACGCCATGCTAACCATGTGCCTCCAGGTATAAACACTTGCCAACAATAAGTATGCCTACAATATCAACTTTAGTTTCAATTATCGATTTTCTTTCAGGCATGTCAATTCCACATTGTGGGACATCCAACGTAGAGTGTGATCCGCTGCCTATGCAACGATGTTTGTGCAAACGAGACGGATGCCTTATACGGTCGATATAAATACCATTATTATTTATTTTTTATTTTTTATAAACGATTCCTTTTTTAAAATTTTTGAAACCAGAATAAAATTGATTTTTGTTAACCAGTGTGTTGTTCTGAATATTTGAAAAAATCATAGTTTTAGTCAGTTTTGAAGGAAGTCATATTTTTTCGGTATGAAATTTTTGAACAGCTAGAAAAGCTGAAGAATTTCAGATCTTAAATTTTGATTTTATCAAAAGAGGGGAATTTTCGACAAAGGGAAAAATTTCGAATATAGAAAATTTCCTGAGCTTCCGAATTTTAGGGTATTTTCAATTTGCTGAACTTTTTTGAGTTTTAGGATTCCGAATTTCAGAATTTCTGGTTTTTTGACTTTCTGGTTTTTTGACTTTCTGGAATTTCTGAATTTCTGAATTACGGAATTTCTGAATTTCGGATATTCTGAATTTCTGAATTTCTGAATTTCTGAATTTCTGAATTTCTGAATTTCTGAATTTCTGAGTTTTTGAATTTCTGAATTTCTGAATTTTTGAATTTCTGAATTTCTGAATTTTTGAATTTCTGAATTTCTGAGTTTTTGAGTTTCTGAATTTCTGAATTTCTGAATTTCTGAATTCTTGAATTTCTAAATTTCTGAATTTCTGAATTTCTGAATTTTTGAATTTTTGAATTTCTGAATTTCTGAATTTCCGAATTTCTGAATTTCTGAATTTCTGAATTTCTGAATTTCTGAATTTCTGAATTTCTGAATTTCTGAATTTCTGAATTTCTGAATTTCTGAATTTCTGAATTTCTGAATTTCTGAATTTCTGAATTTCTGAATTTCTGAATTTCTGAATTCCTGAATTTCTGAATTTCTGAATTTCTGAATTTCTGAATTTCTGAATTCCTGAATTTCTGAATTTCTGAATTTCTGAATTTCTGATTTCTTAACTTTCTAGAATTTTGAAATTCAGAATTTCTGATTTTTTTTTGAAAATTTCTGGAATTCAACTACGTGATTTTTCTCGAGTTTTTTTTCTAAAAGCTTCAGAATACATTGCACATCAATTCCAAACAATGGTCTATTTTTCAAAAATACCATGTGAAACTTTTTGAATCATCATTTTTCTCCCATATTTCTCCTTTTTAAATAGAAAATCATAAGACATTTGAAAAGGGTCTTCTGGTATAAAAAATGATGGAAATTTTGAAATTTTTAGCTATTTGTTGAAAAAATTTGAGTTTCTAGGAAAAAATGGTCCCGGACTATCAAGCTAGTGCCAACCGGGAGCTCCCAAAGATGCCAGGAAAATATTCTTATTTGATTTTAATTTTTGTTATAATCTTGGTGATTTGTATTCTGACATAGTGAGTTTTTGAAGTTCTGGAATATTCAAATTCGGATATCCAGAAAATTTGAAATTTTGAGATTTTCAGTATGGCTGTTCAACATGGAATCAAGATTGATAATCAGGTTCATGTTCAGTAAGTTAGAGAAAATTTCCAGAAGCTTCTAGAATCGGTCAACTTTGAAGCCTTGAAAAAGTGGTTGAATTTGTACAAAAAAAATTGTCAATTACAAAAATGAAGCTCTTTTTTCTGTTCAGTATACTCTGAAATTTTCAGACAAGTCTAGAAATTTTGTACTACTTTTGTAGGACTTCAAAATTGACAAATTTCCATTTGGTTACTGTAGCTTGTTTGAAATTTTCAGACCTACTGCTACTTCTTGTCCAGTTAATAAATGTTCAAAATCCTCCAAGAATTTCGAAGATGCCGCTGTTCAAACTGATTATTCTAACATTGACTATGAGTTTAGGTGAAATTGAAGAAGAAAAAAAGGAATTTTCAGAAAAATCGAGAAGCGTGAGGAGGAGGCAATCATTCATCTGTCTGTGTGATTCTTGCTAGTTATCATTTTGATAATAATTATCATTTTCTGTATTTTTTAAAACTTCCATTTTGTTTATACTAATGTGAACCTTACAAACAGCCTGAAATGAATATGTTGAGAATCAGATTTTTTTCAAAATTGAGATTCCGAGATTCTGAGATTCTGAGATTCTGAGATTCTGAGATTCTGAGATTCTGAGATTTTGCGATTCTGAGATTCTGCAATTCTGAGATTCTGCGATTCTGAGATTCTGAGATTCTGCGATAATATTTGAAAAACAGATAATATTTGAAAAACAGATAAATTTTAACTCATTTTAATGAAATAAAAATTTTTGGTCGGAGTCCCCCTTTAATGAATCATCATCATTTTTTCATTCATTGCTCCAAGTTTCCTCTGTCATCCAAAATTCTTTTATTGGGTATAAAAAACCCCAGGAAGTTAGAAAAATTATGTATTTTCTTCTCGAAATTCACTGAATTCTTGACTAAAATGGTCTTTGGCAGCTGTGATTCTGATGGCAAGTATCTAGTATGCACTATAATTTTGTTTACGCTTGCAATGGTGGGGTATTATTTTCTACATGTGTGAGTTTTCAAAAATTTTCCGATTACTGTACTTCAAAATTTTCAGCTGGGCGGACGATCTGTAAAAAAAAGAGAAACAAGCTAGAAAGGAGGAGGAGTTGTGAGTGGGAAAACAGATACCGTAAAACCTCTAATAGAACGACACCCGGATCGTCCACTTTGAGTCTATATATCTCACTTCTTTTGAAAGATATCGAAA